CCCGCGGTCTTTCTCCCACTCTCCGCGCTTTCGGTTTCGCCAGGAGGCGCGGCGGCTAGACACGCGAATAGACCCCGACCACGCCTCCCCTCTTTTTCTCTCTCCCCAGCAGTGCACTCAGGACCTCTTCCGAAGACCTGATACTGACCACGTCCGCCGCGGCCCGCGGCCCATCCGCCGCCATCAGCTGATCGCGCCCGGCGGGCTGCCCAGAACTCGCTCCAGCAGCTGTAAAGCGGGGCCCCGGGGTCGGGGTCAATGATTATTGGTTGGAGGGCCTGCAACCGAGGAAATCGACCCACCCAGCCGTTCGCAGCTACTCGCGCCAAGAAAAAAAGAGCTCGCAATTTGTCCTTCCAATCACGCACCAAGAGTATAGGTTTCCCCTGGCGGGGCAGGCCGGGGCGGCCCCATAGCCGCCGCAGACGCCGCCGATAATCACGACTCGAAAACTTTCTCCTCGTTGTTGGTCTCGGCGAGCCGGGGCAGGGGCCGGGCCGGGGGCGCCGCGGCGGTGGCGGGACGGGGCGGGCACCGCAGGGCACCGCGACCGAACCGCCAATCTATCCTTATGGTCAGGGGGCTTGGGTCCGACCCCATGCATCCACGGATGTGGATTGCCGCGGGCGGGGCGGGCGGGGCGCAGAGTTTATCGAGGGCAGGGATATACTGTCACCACCCGACCGCCCACGTTAGCGGGCCGGGTCGGCAGGGCTTAGGACGGGTTGGTGTACCTTCCAGTCCAGGGGCTGGGCGGGGCCGAGCGTTCTGGCTCTCTCTTGACCTGTTTCAGCGTCCGCCCTGCCCTGGTGCAGCCATCACAGCCTTGCCGCCGGATCCTGTTCGCGATTCCGCCCTGGCTGCCGCCCTGGCCGAGACCCTGTGCCGGTGCGAGCGGGGGAGACTGAAATTCAAAAGTTGTCGGTTGGGACGGTGCGGGAGCAGGAAGCCCTACCTCCCGGTCCGCCCGGGGCCGGGGCCCGGGGGACGGGGCCGCGGACACCGCCGGCACCGCCCGACCCGGCTCTCTGCCCGGCTCAGCGCTCAGCAGCGCTCAGCAACGCTCAGCAGCGCGCCCCCATTCCAGACAATCCGTAAATGGAGCAGCCTTCTTTTTGTACTGCGAGGTGAGGAGGGGCCAGGGTGGCACGGGCCGGGACCAGGCACGGGCGGCACCGGCAGGCAGGGGCGGGCGAGGAAAGGTGAGGCGCGGGCGGGATGCTCCAGACCGCCAAAACGAGAAGAGGAGCGAGTCCCGAAGGAGCCGGGCGGGCGGGGCCGCAGGACCGCAGGACCAAGGGGGTTGGCCCTTCGGGCTGGCATCCTTCGCCACCTCTACCCCCCCCCCTTTTTTCTCTCGCTCTTTCCGCGCCTTTGCTCATTTTCTCACACGACTGCTCGCTTTGGTGGCGCGAACGATGACTTTTGGGACACAACTCTTTTTCTCAGCCAGCCATCCTCTCGCCCCGCCCGGCCCCGCCTGCCCCCGCCAATGTCCCGGCTCCTTTCCAATGGGCCGTTACTTTCAAAATGTCCGCACGGCACGGCACGGCGCTGGGCCCATGGCTGGGCCGGCGGGGCGGGCGCGCGCGGGGCCGCATGCCCTTGCCCGGTCGTTTTCGTGCTGTTTCGAAAGTAAGTCAACCCGGCCGGCGCGGGGCCGGTAAGTGCAGGCCGGTGCGGTGCGGGCCGGCCGTATGGCGCCTTGCTGGTTGCGATACCTGCTCGAGGCGAACCGCGTGTCCGCGGCGTGCCAAAAGGAATGGCGTGGGGCGCGGGGCGGAGCGGGCAGTGCACCGACCGGCCCGGCACGCGGTGTGTGTCGCCACCCCGAGCGCAATTTGGATCGGAGGTCTTCGAATAACGCGTTCCTCGCGCGTCCAACCGGGACGGGCCGCGCGCGCCACGTTGCGCCTCAGGTTTATGACCTATATCTCCGACCCGCAGGGTCCCTGTGCCCTGGCAGGGAGCGCTCGGACGGTGGGTGTAGAGAACGGACGCGGGGGGGGGGGGGGGGCAAGTAGTCCTCCAGTGGGCCGCGACGCCCACCACACCACCCGGGTGTGCTTCGCGGTGCCATATTGATAAAATCAACATAGTCGTCGCTCATGCCCAGGAGGGTATGCGGGTGGCAGCCCCCCCCCCTTCCTCTCTCTCCTTTGCCGCCGGGCTAACGCTGAGAAGCACGTCGCGCTACCCACGCGTCGCGGCAGAGGTGTCCCAGACGCCGCCGCGCCGCTGGGAAAGGAGGGCAAGCGACGGGCGTCCGCCCCCTTCCTCTCCCCCTTTTCCTCCGCTCCTAATGAAACCGAGAGTACGGCTGCCACCTCCTCTCTCCTCCCGCCCCCCCGCTACACCAGCAACAAGCCCAGCCCAGCCTGGCCAGCCAGCTGTGTTGTTTGTTATGACCTATCAAAATGTGGACCTGGTTGGGCATCGCGGCGAATGAGGAAAAAAGACACTCACCGCCGGATCCGGTATGAGGATACGGCAGGCTCGGTCAAGTCCCGCTGGGTCCGTGGTCCGTGTCGTTTGCATGGGGTGTTTTCTCGCCGGCGAAACGACGGGGACGTTCACGCCTTCGACCGGCACAAAGATCGACCGACGGCAGATGAGAATAGGAAAGAGAAAACGGGCAGAAAAGCGACGCGCCCGCGCGGGCCCCGTCAGCCGTCAGCCCGGCCGCCCGGCGGAGCGCCTGCGAACCGATGGTAGGCAACCGCGCAAAACACCCGTGTCCGACGGGCCGGCCCACCCTGCAAGGCTGACTGCGCCAGGAGGGCCGCCGTACGGACAGACGCCAGCGCTCACCTTAGTTTACAGGGCCCACATTACTTTCGAGAACCGTTGAAAATCACCGGGCCCACGACTGCCTCGACAGTCGAGACTCGACTAACAATTATAAGTTAGAAAGTTAAACCCGACTGGGCCGCGCGAGGCGGTAAATACAGCATTCTCACAACACTAAGTAAACCCATGATTGGAGTTCTTGAAGTGAAATCGACTAGGCGAGAAAAGAAAAGACGAGTGTGGCGATTGCCGACTGGACTGACCTGGTCTACGGCCGCTTGCCGGCCCTCGCCGCCTTCTCCGACGCCTTCATACTCGAGATGGCACTGACGGAGCCGAACAGGATCTTAGCGGTGACCTGCACTCGTCGGTGCGCGCCGCCGCCGCCCCCGCCGCCGCCGCCCCCGCAGTAGCCTCCTCCGCCGCCGCCGAAGCACGACGGATTGTGGTTGCCATGGTGGTGATGGTGATGACAGTTCGCGTTGTGGTTGGTGGCGCCCTTGCTGTTGTTGTTCTTGTCGTTGACGGCACAACCCTTGAAGCCATCGGGCATGGTGAGGCCGTGCGGGGCCTGGTGGACGGGCTGGACGGGGTGGTGGGCGCGGCTGCCGACGGGGTGCTCACCGGGACGCGTGCACGGCCGCACTTAAACAATAACAAACTTTCACCCTTGCGGACCGGCGGCGCACTGGCGGGCTGCGTCTCCCTGGCCGGCGAAAATCCCGCGGTTTCCCATGGGCCGAACCGAGTCGTGCCGAGCCGAGCCGAGCCGGGATCCGAGCAGGGAGAGCAGGGAGCCGAGAAGGGAGCCCGAGCACGTGACCGGCCGGGTGCAGCTCTGCAGCCCCTCTCCTAGGGAGACTTGAGCAGAGACCCGTGGTACCCTGCGATACCCAACCCGGTCCAGGCGAGGCGTCCAGGCCCGGCCGAGCCCGGCCCGGCAGGGGCCCGGCAGGACGGGGAGGGGGCCCAGGGGCAAGGCAAGGACCCCGGGGAGGGGGCCCAGCGCAGCCCAGCCCAAGCCTTTGGCTGGCCTTTGGGGCCCGCGGCCCACGGCCCCACGGCCGGGCCCAGCGCGGGGACCCTACACCCGGACGCCCCGCCCTCGCCTCCCTCCCCTCTCCGCCCTTCCCCTCCGGCCCGGGCGCAGTGTTTACACCCGGACACAAAAAGCGCCCGCCCGGGCTGTGTGCCGGCGTGGCGTGGCGCGGCGTGGCGCGGAGACTGTCGCGGAGCTCGGGCGCGGGGCCGCACGGATGCTCGGCACGGTAGTCACAGTGCGACTGATAGTGATAGCACCGCAACGGTGTCCCTCTCTCCAACCCCCGCCCCTC